AGGATTTTGCAGCACCTTTGAGACTCACTGCAAGAAAGAATTTGGTGGCAGGAGCTTTCCTAGACTTGAGCCGACGACCTCTTTCATTCATTGCATTTCCATTTATTTGGGGAAACAGCCAGCATAAAGCCCATTTCTTCAGATGTTTCCGAGATGTGCATCTGAGGAAGCGGGCTCAAGTCTAGGAAAGTTCATGCTTCAAACTTCTTTCTTCCAGTTACTCTGGAAGGTGCTGCAAGATCCCTTTGCAGACTGAGGAAGCTCATGGTGCCAACTCTGCTTCTCTTTCACTTAGTCCCAAAGGGGCTGCAAAGATCATTTTGCAGACTGAGTTTCCAGACTAACAGGGCTATATCTTTGAATACAACTTATTGAGGTTTTTCATTAAAAAAAAAAAAAAGGTTCATCTTCTTTTGAGCTTTTTGGGTTGGGGTTGGAGCAGTGCTGTGGGTGTGAAGTTGAGTTTGGTTTAGTTGCAAAAAGGCAAAAGTTTGGAAGGAACTTGGAGGAAAACTCAGAAGAACAGCACCTGAGAGACAAAACTTGCATTCTTCTGCACTTCTGTTATGTGTGAAGCCAACTCATTTCTTAAAATGCCCAGACTGTGGTCCTCCTGGACCTAGCAAGACTTGGAGGACTTACACACCTAGGCCCATCTTTCCTTTTTTCTTCTCTCTTAGGAGTTAAGCCTCCCTTTAGCAAAGAGGCCACTTTCTTTGCAGACAATAAGCACAAGGGAGAGTGTAGCATGGAACTGGATGTGTTTTGTAAACACACACACACACACACAACCATAATAGTGAGGGTCAGTGGATGGAAAATGCATTTCACAACTGTGCATAATGAGCTGGAAAGGCTTTTCCTTTTAAAGGCTTAGGGACTGAAGTCATTCTTTTCCCCAGGAGAGATTTATTATTATTATTATTATTAGTGTATTATTATTATTGAGAGGTAATTGTTTCTAGCAGGACTTGATCTTGCACTTCTATGGCACTTCTGGTGGTGGTTGATTTTGGGGGGATTTGCACTCTCCCACACACGTCAATAAGTTTTGAAAAGCCCCAAAAGCATTCACTTTGTTGTTGTTGTGTGCCTCCAAATTGTTTTTGACTTATGGCAACCTTAAGGCAAACCTATCCTGGGGTGGTGGTTGTTTTTTTGCAACTTCAGAGGAGGTTTACCATGGCCTTTCTCTGAGGCTGAGAGTGTGTGACTTGCCCAAGGACACCCAGGGGGTTTCCTGGCCTCCAGAGTCATAGTCCAATGCTCAAACCATGACACAATGCTGGCTTTTATTCTTTACCCCCAGGAAAAAAAAAGGGAAATAGCAGTGAAATTGTGTAGACTTTTTAATTTCTTAAAAGGCACAATTTCTGGGGAGAAGGTGAAGGTGAAGTTTTAGTTTAGTTTCAGGAGACAGAGAGAGTTTTCTGAAGTTTTCTAAAACTTCACTTTCACCTCCCTAGAAATTGTGCCTTTTACGAAATTAAAAAGTCTACAAAATTTCACTGCTATTTCCCTTTTTTTTTTTCTGGGGGTAAAGAATAAGAGCCAGCATTGTGTCATAGTTTGGGTCCTTAACTCTTCTTAACCAAATGTTGTTGAAAATTTGGAAGGGGTCAGTGAGAGCATGAATGCAGGCCAGGAACTGTCAGACCTGAATCTGATCTCTTGCAAGGCTGAAACCACCATCCATCCACGGATGGGGTGTTTCTCTTGCAAAAATAAAAATAAAAGCCAGGCTGGGAGAAGACAGCTTTTTGCAATGCAAACCCCCCCCCCCCAAAGGGGCAGGATTGTTCCCTCAGAGGTTTGGTTTGTGAGATTTGCAGAGCCCTCCTTTTGCACCCATATAGAGAAAAACAACAACGTTTTAAGGCATCTCTTTTAAAAACCCGCAGTTTTCATTTCATGTCTTAAATGGGCATGAAGGAATTAAACTGTGCAAGTGAATAACAGCATTAGTTTCAATTAATTTTTTTTTAAATCCTGGCAACAATAAAGTTTGGAAACAAAAGCCTTTTTTACATCCTTAATTAGCCTTGCTTCCCATCTGTAGGCTTTTTAAGTGTCTGTGTGCCTTGATTTAAACTTTGTGTACCCCCCCCACACACACACACATACACACACACTTTCCTTGCAATTGGAGTGGGTTTTCTTCTCCTCCTGCTTTTATCCTCCCTCCTTCTTTTCTTTTTCTTTTAATGCACAGTTATTTAGTTAGTCTTTCTCTTGCTTCTCTGCAATCCCTTATCCCTTACCTGGTTTGCCTTACAGTCAGTCTCTTAAGGTTGATTTCAGCTGTAGTTCTCACACAGAGACATACATATACACACTCACACACAGAGACACACAAAAAAGTCCCTTCATCAGCAATATTGGTTCCTATGGCCCCAAGCTGTGTGCAGAGGAGGGAAAGCAAGAGAGAGGGAGAGAGCTTCATCCACCCCAAACTTCTTTTCCAAGACTTTTGAAGTCTTGTATTATTATTATTTTTTCAAAGTAGGATTTCAATTTGTATCATCTGGAGTGTGTATTAAATGAAGAACATCCCTATAGGCTTCAGAGAGAGAGAGAAAGAAAGAAAGAGAAAAGAAAAGAAAAGAAAGAGGCAACACCCAGGAAATTTCTGGAGTCTTTCAGCCTTCTCTGCCCCAGGGCCATGGGGCTGCTGGCCTCAGGCATGGAGCTGAATGGAGCTCTTACAACTGCCTTCTGTTTACCTTTTATGGTTAAAATAACAGCTTTTGCAAAGAAGCAACTTCATGGAGGGGGGAAGAAAATGATTTCGGTGAACTCATCTCAAGCTGTAGCAGCCTAGCTGGTTTAATCACCCCTAGAGAGCTGAACAACTGTGAGCTCAATGGGACACAAAATCATTTTGTGTGTAAATGAGCATGGGATGGCGGTTATTTCACTTTCCATGGGCAAATAGTTTTTACAAGCAGCAGTTAGGCAGTTAGCGTAGGAAGAAGGCGAAGGGAAGAGAGAGGGAGACCGAGCTGGCTTCTGAAGGCGAGAGTGTGCATGCGTGTGCAATGCACACCAATGCAAAGGCAATGAGCAAAACAGCTGGATTGGAGCTGGGTCACAATCCCATTGGGAAGGGGAAGGTCTCCTCCACCACCAGCAGCATCCATTGACAGAAAATGAGAAGATAGCACAGGGTTGGTTGCCTGTTTCTTGCAAGGAGGATGCTGCAGGAGAACTTGCCAGTCAGGGTGGCCAGATGTCTTCAGTGCAAAGGAGGACAAGGCGCAGAAAAATGTAGGGATATGTACGACATTACCAAAGGAAAGCTAAAAACACTCATAGAAATGTAAAATGCATGCTTCTTAGCCAGGCTCAGAAATGGAGGACATTTTGACATCCCTCCTGGACAGAAGGATGAAATGGAGGACATGTCCTGGAAATGGAGGACGTCTTGTCACCCTGTTGCCAGTGCATTGGGCTTTCTGCCATCGTTGAACTTCTATATCTTTGTTCTTAGGTAGGCAAACTATCCGTAGGGGCTGTTTGGATAGATAAGTCGGTGTGCCTGTGTTACGCGATTCCTTATTTTCGCTGAGGAAGGCCCCAAAATATTTAAAACGGTTTCATTTCAGAAGCTATAAGTCAAAACAGAGTTTAAGGTGTAATGTTTGGGCGCATTCTTTAAAGGATCTTCGCGTATAAAGTATAGGGGCTGTGCAGAGTAACTCGGGGTGCCCATGTTATGCGATTCCTCCTTTTCAAAATATTTAAAACAAGATTCATTTCAGAGGCTGTAAGTCAGAACAGAGTTTAAATGTATTGTTTGGGTGCATTCCAATGTTTATATGGATTTGGGTGCATTCTTTAAAGGAGCTTAAAATATAACCCAACCAACTCTAGCTAGCTGTCTTGCTATCTTGGAATTGA